CTACATATATGCTAGGCTGGGCAGTGCAGGAGTCTGCAGCCTGAAATAACCAATAGGCATAGAAAAAAGAAAAATCTGTTTCTCTCACCAGAGGACTGGGAAATGGAAAGCACAACAGAGACCAAGTGGGGAGCTCTAATCTCAGCTCTTCAACTGAGATACCAGTTGGCCAATCTGTCTTCAGCAGCAACTTCAAAGTCCTGGTGAGCCAACCCAACCTCTGCTTCACAACCAGAGCACTAATGGGCCAACATATTTGCAGCATCAACAAAGAAGCCCCAGGGAGCTTCCTGACTCCACAGTGCTCTACTACTCAGGTACCCTTGGGCAGTCCAATTCACCTGCAGGGGTTTCAAAGCAATGACAGTCCTACTCAACCCCTGCTCCACACCAGGGGCAACAGCAATTAGGCTGATCTTCCCATGTCAGCTGAGCCGGGTAGCTTCTGGCCCTCCACCCAGTGGCATAAGGAGACTTGGGACAAGAAGAAATGGGGCATTACCTGTAGAGGAACACAAATTTGAACTGACAGGGAATTTCTCATTTGAAACTACAGAAGCCAGAGGAAGTGGCACAATATTTCTTACTGCTGAAATAAAACAATTGTTAACTAGCAATCCTATATCCAACGTAACTACCCTTCAGGAATGAAGGTGAAATAAAGATATTCTCAGACAAAGAAAAACTAAGAAATTTGTTGCTAGCACACCTACCCATAGATAATGTCTAAAGGAAGGTCTCCAAACAGAAAGAAAATAACAGAAGAAGGCTGGGACATTCAGATAGGAAAGAACATGAAATGGTAAAAACTGAGGTCAGCACAATAGACTATCCTTCATCCCATGAACTTCTTCAATCAAAGTTTATGGTTGAAGCAAAAATTTTCACAAAATTTGATGTGCTGCTCAAAGAAGACAGAGGAAATATTTTTAAAAATTATGTTTAAGAAATGAAAAAGGTAAGGGAAACTAATGGAAGAAGTAAGGTTTCTATAATTCACTTAAAGTGGCAAAATGATACCACTACACTTTTGATAACTTATGAATGTATACAGTAATTCCTAGAGCAACCAACTAACGAAAATTTAAAAAGTGATATATGAAAAAACATTATAAATGAACATTATGAATAAATTAAAGTGGAATTCTAAAAAATGTTCAAATAACCTGCAGGATTTTCTTCAATGTGTGAATGGTTAAACAAACTAAGGTACCACCATACCATGGCGTACTACTCAGCAATAAAAAGAAACAAACTATGTGATATGGTTTTGATCTATGTTTCCACCCAAATTTCATGTCTAGCTGTAATCTCCAGTGTTGAAGGTAGGGACTGGTGGGATGTGGTTGGATCATGGAAGAGGAGTTCTCAAGAATGGTAGCACCATTCCCCCTTGGTACTGCATAGTGAGTTCTCACAAGATCTGGTTGTTTAAAAGTGTGTAGGCCCTCCCCCTCACTCTCCTGCTCCTGCCATATAAGATGCCTTTTCCTGCTTTGCCTTCCTCCATAAGTAAAACCTCCCTGAGGCCTCCCCAAAAGCCTGGAAGCATGGAAGTTGCTATGCTTCCTGTACAGTCTGCAGAACCATGAGCCAATTAAACCTCTTTTCTTTATAAATCACCCAGTCTCAGGTATTTCTTTATAGCAGTTGAGAATGGACTAATACACTGTTGATACATGCAACAACTTGGATGAATCTCATGGAAATTATGTTGAGTGAAAAAAGCCAATCCCAAAAGGTTAGGTACAGTTCAATTTTTATAACACCCCTAAAATGACAAATTTATAAAATAAAGAACATATTAGTAGTTGCAAGGGGTTAAGAATTGGGGTGAAGGAAGTGGGTATGATTATAAAGGAGTAACACAAGGAAGCCTTATGGTGATATGGGATGGTACAATTAAGTATCTTGACCATGACGGTGGTTACACAAAATTACACAAAATTTTAATAAAATGCAATTAATGTAAAATATAGTCAAAAATAAAGAAACAGAAAACATTTGAGAAAAACTAAGAGACTCACAAGATGATAAGAGTGTTTTGCATGCCTGAGGCCTTGGGCCACGGTGTACCAGTTTGTCCAGAGAGTTTGCACTAACAATGTGATTTACAGTGAACATCTGGGTTTTCCCTGTGGGGCTGGTGCTTAAACAATTGAGATGCTGCATGCCTACATAACTGACCTTTAGTAAAAACTATACACAACAAAGCTTGAGCAAGCTTCCCTGGTTGGCAACACTATGCATGTGTTGACACATACTCACTAGAGTAATTAAGTGCATCTCACTTGTCTCCACTGGAAGAAGACACTTGGAAGCCTGTGCCGAAGTTCCTCAGGACTTGCCCCATGTGCCTTTTCCCTTTGCCGATTTTATTCTGTATCCTTTCACAGTAATCACCCCTAAGTGTAAGTGTAACAGCTTCTAAGTTCTGTGAGTCCTCTAGTGAATTACAGTGGCTGAGGGTAGTCATGGGATCCCTGACATACCTTCTTTCAAGGGTAAGCACTTCTACCATTTTCAGAAACTGCTTGGACTTTACTACTCCCTATTTACTTTCCTAACTTGTGGCAGGGTTTAAAGCACCTAGTGAATTCCCACAGATCAGTTAGTTACAAAATCTCACCTGTTCAATCATGACTAAGTGGCTACTGACACCAACATTTCAAACAGAGGGCTGCACATCTAGAGATATGTCTGACCCCTCTATTTCATCAGTCTACTTCGCCCAGCCCCGGGAACAGACATGGGCATGCCAGGTCTTGCCTACTGCTTAAAATGGCTGAGAAAGTGGCAAGGCAGCTTCAATATTTTATATATCACCACAACCACGTGGCAACATATCCACTCCCAGTAGTTTTCTGCTGCAAATATCCCCATCACCTCCCTCTCAGAAACTGTATACAACACTGCACAGAGGTATTCTGCCATGTGGCTACAGGAGAAGAACATTTCTCTTAGCTAGGATGTGGCTCCACTTGGGAGGCATGATACAGATAATTCAGTAGCAGCAGTACAAAGTAATTTCGACATAAAACCTACCTGCAGAGTGAATTCTCTTTAAAATTCACTCTCAGTTACTCACATCCTGATAAGCTTTCTTGAGCAGGAGAGAAAGAGTTGCAAGCAGTATGTTGTACACCAAAATTTACACATAACCCACAGCCATCATTATATGTGTCAAGCATGAAACAACTGTTTAAATTGATGATTTTGTTAGCCAAATGCCTATGAAATGCTTTGATGTTCTCTGGCTCCTGTCCGCACACCTCAAATCTGTGACCTATTAATTTATTTTCTAAGAAAAGGCTTTGAGGTTTTGTCACTCTAGAGAAGTGGGTCACACATGTGAAATACTATTTAAGTGATACATATTAGTCTTAAAATGGCTCAGTCCCAGCACTGGTAACATGAAGTTGGATAAATTCCCTATTTTGCCATGTCTTCAAGTAAAATGGTGTATTTCAAATCGGTACAGACTGTACACTTGCACTGCACCTACAAACACTTGTTTTGTTGACATGACACAGTCTGAATCCATAGCTACTAAATGCAAAAATTTAAAACCGATTCCTTCCCCAACACGTCACCAAGTGCTGAGAACAACTCTGCCAATTGTACCAACATGAGCAATAACTAAGATAAAGGCCAAATCCCCTCTTACATAAGGAGCTAACAGGCCAGTGAGAAACTTCCATCACATATTAACACAGGAATTTTATGTTCTTGAGAAAACCATAGCATTTATTTACAAGTCTCTCAAATAGCTTCTCATCCATAAATAACTCAGAGTCATTGCATGTTTTGCTGAAGACCAGCAAAAGAGTCAGAGAAACAGTGCAATACAATCTAATGGGGCCGTTGGCTCTCCCTTTCTCTTATGAAAACAAGCACTTATTGCTCTGTGTGTGTGTGTGTGTGTGTGTAAAATATGTATTTTTTTAAATATAAGGAACATTTCCATTTGTAAGATTATCTTCTGTAAGTGTTGATACCAATCTTATTAAATGCATGTTCACTGCTTAGAATCCAAGGCACACATGCAGGTTCATTCCCTTTCTCCTCAGGCAGTTTCCGCAATCCACAACATTCTCATTTTAACAGTCCTCATTACTGGTATCATTTAATACTTGAGGGTTTGCTCAAGTCACTATCAATCTTGCTGATCCTACAAACACTTATTTTGTTGACACAACACAGTCTGAATCCATAGCTACTAAATGTAAAAATTGTATTTTATTTATTTATTTATTTATTTTTTGTTGTTGTTGAGATGGAGTCTTGCTCTGTCGCCCAGGCTGGAGTGCTGTGGCTGGATCTCAGCTCACTGCAAGCTCCGCCTCCCGGGTTTACGCCATTCTCCTGCCTCAGCCTCCCAAGTAGCTGGGACTACAGGCGCCTGCCACCTCGCCCGGCTAGTTTTTTGTATTTTTTTAGTAGAGACAGGGTTTCACTGTGTTCGCCAGGATGGTCTCGATCTCCTGACCTTGTGATCCGCCTGCCTCGGCCTCCCAAAGTGCTGGGATTACAGGCTTCAGCCAACGCACCCGGCCAAAAATTGTAAAAGTATTCCTTCCCCAACACGTCACCAAGTCGCTGTTGCTGTAACAACTCTGTCAGTCACTCAGCCTTGTCATGGAGCCACAGTGCAGGGGAGACATCAAGCACAGGACTTTCGGGGGATCCCACTCCCTTCGATCACTGGTCCTCCTGCCACCCAGATGTACTGCTTCTTCTCAAAGACACTTGACACCTTAAACTCAATATTCTGAAGATGGAAATGTTTACCTGGAAGGCACTTCGTCGGACCCATCTGAAACACACTTCCTCATTAACAAATAGCCCTTTACCACAAGAAAATCTTAACTAACTAGAAGAGGGAGAAACCTTTCCTTCAGAAGGAACAACAAAAACCTATTCAGAACAAAAATATACTCTTCAATTAAGCTTACATGTCTCTGGGCGAGTCTAAATTAAGAAATACAATATCTCTTTACCTGATTGGAAAACCTCATGCTCACATTACGTTGATCTTTTAGTGGGACATAGCGCTGCACAGGATCAATGTCTTTAGGACTGATTAGTTCATCAGCTGAAAAAAAGAAGGGGAATGACATTACTGAAAATGCATTTGCATAACACTATAAACCAACTAGACTTTTAGAAAACACTCCAACAAGAGCAGAATATACATTTTTCTCAGTGTACATGAAACATCCTCCACCAGGATATACCACATACTAGGCCATAAAATAAGCCTCAATATATAGAAAAGGACTGAAATCATAAAAAGTATATTGTCTGACCACAAGGGAATGAAATCAGGAATCAATAACAGAAAGAAATCTTATAAATTCACACATACGTGGAAATGAAAACATACTACTAAATAACTAATGGGTCAAATAATAAATCAAAAGGGAAATGAGAAAATATATTCTAATATACTTTCTGAGGAGATTAATGAAAATAAAGACAAACACCAAAATCAATGGGATGTGGGTAAAACAATGCTCAGAGAAAAAATTATAGCTATAAAGTCCTATATTAAACAGAAGAAAAATCTCAAATCAACAACCTATTTTTCCACCTTAAGACAGTGGATGAGACGGCTGGGCGCGGTGGCTCATGCCTGTAATCCCAGCACTTTGGGAGGCCGAGGTGGGCAGATCACAAGGTCAGGAGTTCCAGACCAGCCTGGCCAACGTGGTGAAACCCCATCTCTACTAAAAATACAAAAAAAAAAAAAAAAAATTAGCTGGGCGTGGTGGTGTGCACCTGTAATCCCAGCTACTCAGGAGGCTGAGGCAGGAGAATCACTTGAATCCAGGAGGCGGAAGTTGCAGTGAGCCAAGATTGTGTCACTGTACTACAGCCTGGGCAATAGAGAGAGACTCTGTCTCAAAAAAAAAAAGACAGTGGATGAAAAAGAGCAAACTAAATCAAAAGCAACAGAAGGAAGGAAATAATAAAGATTAGAGTGGAAATTAATGAAACAAAGTAGAGAAAAACAATACAGAATCAAGGAAATCAAAAGCTCAATAAAACTTGCAAACCTTTAGCTAGATTGACCAAGAAGAGAGAAGACTCAAATTACTAAATCAAGAATGCAAGAAAGAACAGAGATATAGATCAATGGAACAGAACAGAGTCCTCAGAAATAATACCACACATCTACAGCCATCTGATCTTTGACAAACCTGACAAAAACGAGAAATGGGGAAAGGATTCCCTATTTAATAAATGGTGCTAGGAAAATTGGCTAGCCATAAGTAGAAAGCTGAAACTGGACCCTTTCCTTACTCCTTATACGAAAATTAATTCAAGATGGATTAGAGACTTAAATATTACACCTAAAACCATAAAAACCCTAGAAGAAAACCTAGGGAATACCATTCAGGACATAGGCATGGGCTAGGACTTCATGTCTAAAACACCAAAAGCAACGGCAACAAAAGCCAAAATTGACAAATGGGATCTAATTCAACTAAAGAGCTTCTACACAGCAAAAGAAACTACCATCAGAGTGAACAGGCAACCTACAGAATGGGAGAAAATGTTTGCAATCTACTCATCTGACAAAGGGCTAATATCCAGAACCTATAAAGAACTCAAACAAATTTACAAGAAAAAAACAACCCATCAAAAAGTGGGCAAAGGATATGAATAGACACTTCTCAAAAGAAGACATTCATACAGCCAACAGACAGATGAAAAAATGCTCATCATCACTGGCCATCAGAGAAATGCAAATCAAAACCACAATGAGATACCATCTCACACCAGTTAGAATGGCAATCATTAAAAAAATCAGGAAACAACAGGTGCTGGAGAGGATGTGGAGAAATAGGAATACTTTTACACTGTTGGTGGGACTCTAAACTAGTTCAACCATTGTGGAAGACAGTGTGGTGATTCCTCAAGGATCTAGAACTAGAAATACCATTTGACCCAGCCATCCCATTACTGGGGATATACCCAAAGGATTATAGGTCATGCTGCTATAAAGACACATGCACACGTATGTTTATTGCGGCACTATTCACAATAACAAAGACTTGGAATCAACCCAAATGTCCATCAGTGACAGATTGGATTAAGAAAATGTGGCACATATACACCATGGAATACTATGCAGCCATAAAAAAGGATGAGTTTGTGTCCTTTGTAGGGACATGGATGCAGCTGGTAACCATCATTCTCAGCAAATATCGCAAGAACAGAAAACCAAATACCACACGTTCTCACTCATAGGTGGGAACTGAACAATGAGATCACTTGGATACAGGAAGGGGAGTATCACACACCGGGTCCTATTGTGGGGAGGGGGTAGGGGGAGGGATGGCATTGGGAGTTATACCTGATGTAAATGATGAGTTAATGGGTGCAGCACACCAACATGGCACAGGTATATATATGTAACAAACCTGCACATTGTGCACATGTACCCTAGAACTTAAAGTATAATAAAAAAAAAAAGAAAGAAAGAAAAAAGAATGCAAGAAAGAAACATTACTAGAGAACTAAAGGATTATAAGAGAATAATATCATATCAAATATATGTCATCAAATTAGATAACCTAGATGAAATGGATGAATTATTCCCAGAAAGACACAAACTACCAAAACTGACCCAAGAAGGAATAGAAAATCTAAACAGATTTGTAAAAAGTACATAAAGTGATTGAAACTTCACACACACACACACACACACACACACAAACACAGCTCAAGACTAGATGTCATCACTGGTGCATTCTACCAAGCAGTTAAAGAAAAATTAAAACCAACCTTTCACAAACTGTGCTCCCCCTCCCAAAAATGAGGGAACACCTCCCAACTCATTCTAAGAGGTCAATATTATTCTAATACCAAAATCAAAGTATCACAAGAAAATTACAAAGCAAAATCTGTTTTACAGACACAAAAATCCTCAGCAAAATACTAGCAAACCAAATCCAGTAACATAAAGAAGGGATGACACATCATAACCAAGTAGAATCTATCCCACAAATGCAAGGATGGCTTAACAACACAAAGTCAATTACTAATAGACCTTACCAACAAAATAAAGAAGAAAACACTATATGATCACTTCCACAGACTGAGAAAATGCATTTGACAAAATTCAACATCCTTGAATAAAAACATTCAACAAAGTAGGAACAGAATAAAATGTATTCAACCAAATAAAGGGCATCTATGAAAAAGCTACAGCTAATATCACACTCAATGGTAAAAGACTAAATGCTTTTCCCCCAAAGTTCAGGAATAAGACAAGGATGTTCACTCTCACCACTTCTATTCAACATTGAACTGGAGGTTCCAGCCAGGGAAATTGGGAAAGAAAAAGTAATAAAAAGTATCAGATTGGAAAGGAGAAAAGCTATGGTAGTTAATAGTGTGGTATTAGCATAACAATAGACACAGAAATAGAATACAGAGTCCAAAAATAAACCCTTGCATATATAGTCAACTGATTTTTGACAAGGGTGTCAAAATAATTCAGTAGGGAGAGAAAGGATTTTTCTTTGTTTTGTTTTGAGACAGAGTCTTGCTCTGCTATCCAGGTGGAGTGCAGTGGCACAATCTCAACTTACTGCAACTTTCGCCTCCCAGGTTCTTCTGGTGCCTCAGTTTCCTGAGTAGCTGGGATTACAGGCATTTACCATTATGCCTGGCTAATTTTTGTGTTTTTTGTAGAGACAGGGTTTTGCCATGTTGGCCAGGCTGGTCTTAACTCTTGGCCTCAAGCCTCAGCCTCCCAAAGTCTTGGGATTACATGCGTGAGTCACTATGCCCAGCCAAAAAATGTTTTTTTTAATTGACAAATAGTGCAGAGACAATTGGATATTCAAATGCAAAAGAATGAAGCTGGACCTTTTCCTCACACCATATATAAATATCAACTCAAAATAGATCCAAGAGTTAAATGTAAGAGTTAAAACAATAAAACTGTTAGAAGAAATTATAGGAGTAAGTCTTTGTGACTGATTTAGACAAAACTATGACATCACAACAAAAGTGATAAAAGAAGAGATAAACTGGAGTTCATCAAAATTATAACTTTTATGTGCCACAAAAGATCCATCAAGAAAGTGAAATAACAGCCCGAAGAACGGTGAGAAAACATTCACAAATCAGGTATCTTGTAAGGGATTTAAACCTAGAAGATATAAAAAACTCATAACAACACAATAATAAAAAATTAAAAACCCAATTAAAAAATAGCCACAGTGTCTACATAGGCATTTCTCCAAAGAAGATATACAAATTACCAATAAGCACATGAAAAAATGCTCAACATTAGTCATTTGGGAAATGCTAACCAAAACCACAATGAGGTATCACTTTGTATCACTTTATATCTATTAGGAAGGCTACAATTGAAAAAGGAAAATAGGTAAGAACAAGTGTTGGCAAAGATGTAGAGAAATAGAAACCCTCACATAGTGTTGATGGGAAAGCAAAATGATACAGCAGCTTTGGAAAACAGTCTGGAAGTTGCTCAAAATGTTAAATGTAAGAGTTAGCATAGACCCAGTAATTACATGCCTAGGTATACACCCAAGAGAAATGAAAAATATGTCAAACAATAATTTTATATAAAGTCTATAGCAGCATTATTCATAACAGCTAAGAAGTGGAAACAACCCAAATGTTCATTTGCTGATGATATGGGTAAATAAAATGTAATGTATACATACAATGGAATATTGTTCCGCCATAAAAAGAATGAATTGCTGAAACATGCTACAACATGGATAAACCTTGAAAATACCACGTTAAGTGAAAGAAGCCAGACTCAAAAGTCCACATTATCAGTTTTGAGTTATATGAAATGTCCCAAATAGGCAAATCTATAGAATTAGACAGTAGGCTAGCCATTGCCTAGTGCTGGGTGAAAGGGTGAAGTGATGAGAGGGAAATGAGGAGTGACTGCTACTGGGCATGAGGTTTTTTTTGGCAGGAAGATGATGAAAACATTGTAAAACTGATTGCAGTGATGGTTGCACAACTCTATAAACATATCAAAAATCACTGAATTGTAAACTTTAAATAGGTAAAATATATGGTATGTAAATCATATCT